CATTTACTACAGTTTTATTTTAGTGCTATGAAACTCTGCTTTGTTTTGTTTTATCTCCATATTCAGCTCTTGCAAGCATAAAGCAAAAGAGAATAATGTGTGGTTCTTCAGATATTGAGCTACAGCTCTCTTCTGCTGTCCCCAGCAGGTCCATTGGTGAGGGATGAAGGGAGCTGCAGTTCAACAGTTTCTAGAGGACACAACTTGCTTAATAGCATATGTTATATGGTATATAGTGTATATGAATATGAACTGGGTTAGATTTAGTGTGTTTCCATAAAGTCAATATTAATTGTCTTTAAGAAGGAGGTAGGTAGAGCTAGGGTAGACGTTTCCTGCATATATACCTTCAAAGTAAAAGTTATCATTACTTTGAGGGAGTTAAGGTGGCAGGTAACAGAGAGCTCTCAAAAGTCCATGAATTAAGTAGTGGTGCTAATGGATTTTCTGCTAGCGCGAGGTAGCTTTGGTTGGAAAAAGGAGCAGAACTTGGAAAAGGGTTCCCTGAATCCACTGGCCAGCATGTATGTGCAATGGCAATGCTGTCTGACAAAGGAATGCTAGAAATTATAATCCAAACGTAACTTATTTGAGAAAGAAAGAGCCCAGTGGATTTCTTCTGTCTTCAACAGCAACCTCTGCTACCTGTTACATTAATCCTCTTCCTCAAAGCTACTTGTGTTCCTTCTGAGGAGAAATGAAGCAACAAAAGGAATTAGGATACAACCAGAAACGACTCAGGGGGTCTGCTCTCAGCAGACCGTGCCTTCTTTGATTCTATTCACAAGAATCATCGACATACTCAAATTCATAGATTTATTTCATGTGCACAATTTTGTCAAAGGAACAAGAGAAATTCTTTTTAAGTCAAGCAGCTCAAAGAAAAATGTTGTAAATTAGAATGCAGCTTTCAGGATTTCATGTTCTTTTATTAATGTTTCTCACACAGATAGAGTAGCACAGACCTGGAAGATTCTGATCCTTAACAGACACCCGTAGGGCTACAAACACCTACTGCTATAGAAGGGCAAAATAATTTGTTTCTTTTATTTGCTGTAAAATGACCTCCTGGACCTCAACAGCGACTACTTCAGAATGTAATGAAAATGGTTCTCTTGCTAATTTTTCTGGAATGATGGGTTTAGGTGCAAGGGTCAGAGCCCTTTGCAGAAGACGATAGCCCATGAATGTGGGTTTCGTGATATGTAATTAACTAATGATTACAAGGTGAAATTTAAATTCAAAGGACTGAATGTGTTCAATTTTTTTACTGGTTTTTATAATATTACTAAAAGTATGAAAATTATAATCATTTGTTAATAGTTATGATTAAAAAGAATTTCTGCTTTTTCTCACCTGTAACTGAAGCTAGTCACAGTATAAATAAAGGCTAAATGAATGTTGCTTCAAAAAGTGTGTTTGTTTGTCAGTTGCCTGCCTGCAAAAATGTTAAAATGCAACATGGGCAAAATTTTGAAAAGTATCAGAGAAGGGTAATGCTTGGTCTTAAATCCATTTACATAGGAAAACGTTTAATTAATTCCAGCTGTTTAGGGGAAACTATGTTTTTGAGGTAAGAGGTACGATTCCATCTATAGAACTGAAACCTCTGAACCATATTAGTTTATTCATTGTGAGAGGGACCTCCAAAACAGGAATCTGAAATGTCTGTTCACTTGTATTGTTGTAATCTAAATTGGAGAAAGATAAAACATAGTATGTGTGCATCTTGCACACCATATTTTGAAAAGGGTTGGGATCATGCTAGTGAATTCTACCTGTTGATTTTGGCAGAAAAGAGAACAAGTCCGATTTGGATTGCCCCAGGCTTTAAATAGGCAAATTCTCTGAAATTCCTTGCAGATATATTGCCATCAACTGGTCAATATCCCAGCATTTATTCAAATGTATATTTGATGCAAATACATACTATTCTTTTTCTGCCACCCAACTGTCCATGTACTGCTAAGTTGGTTTTTAAAGAAGCTGTTAGACAACCCACTGTAGTTAATTATGTATCTCTTAAAAGTGAAATACAAAACAATAGCTTGTTTGGACAGCCCAGATGCTCTAGGTGACTTTTTCTAGCCTAGGATGACTTTGTTGAAAGTTACCGGGGTGGGTACTTCTAAAGGAATATCTAGATTTTTAACATTAGGACTGCCATTTTGAAAGCTACTAATGATTAAATTATGTAGAACACTCTTCCACCTCACTCTCTCTTAACAATAAAATAGTAGGGTGCTGGGTGATGACAATGTTATTTTAATTTTGTTGGCCTGGGCTGGCTGCCAAAATTGGTTTGGGCCATTATTGGATTCTGTCCCAAAATACATTGCGTACTTTTTCTGGTATCAAAGGACAAAACTGGAAATGCCCAAGTATTTTGGCAGCCTTTTCTTCTACCCCATGCACATTTGGATGACTGCAGACAAGAAGTGAACAACAACATTAGCCTAAGGTCAAAGAAAATTTATAAAACCTTTGCAGATACCTACTGAAGTATGTATTGCATTATAAGAATGTTGTGACTATATATGTACATATCTAATATTATGAATAATACTTGGGTTGCTTGGGATTTTTTTAAGAAACCAACAATTTAATTTCCTATGTTGGTTCTGATAGGCAATGAATTGCAATCATTAAGTTTTCTGCATAGAGTAAAAGTTCTTCCGGGGGAAGTGGTGGAAGATCCTACCCAAACTTCTCCCAGGTTTTTGTTTTTCCTATATTCACTCACCTGTGATTTAATACTCAACATCATGGAGACAGTCAAAGATTCAAAAGGACTCTAAATTACTCAGTATTTCTCTTTCAGGAGTTTAACAAGGATCCTTATAATATCCAAATCTAGTTATATCACTTAAAGTTCTTCTATGTTTGTTCAACTATTTTGAAAACCTCTTTGTAGCACAACATAATTAAGAAGCTTGGTAAGCATCCATTGGTGATGGTAATGGTGATATTAATTTAGTGGTGATGGTGAAGTTAATTTGCATATAAAGTTACAGACATCCTTGAAATTAGAGGTGTGACCTGATTGTTTACATTTGATTGAGATCTGGAAACATGTATTTCTGAAATGGTTCATTCACTTTTCATCCTTTCTGTTCTCAACATACTCTCTTTTAATGAGGTTTCATGCTTTATTACTGGAATCTGGCCCTGTTGATTTCTTGCACAAACATTGCCATCTTGTTGCCAAATCCCATCACTTTCTGAAATTTCACTTAAAGCATTTCCTTTGTCATTTATGGTCAGAATGTCAGAAGAGGTAAGAATCCTCTTAAAATACAAGTGGTGGTCTTTGGGTTCAGCGGTCTCTAACCTGGTGTTTCCTAAACTGGGATCCACTTCTTTTCTGCATCAAATCTGAAGGAGTAATCTGTAGGAGGAAAACTTCCCTGCCCTCAAGAGAGCCTGTCCCCTCCTGTTTATGTGTGAGTCTCTGTTCAGGGCATGCTGCCACTGAGATCAGATAATTTGGGTGCATGTCTGCATGTGAGGCAGGCCATATCTCACTAGCAGAGCATATGCTTTGCATGCAGAAGGACCCAGTTTTTCCAGACATGCATCTACTACCAGAAGACTCACTGAGCTAAATAAATCATGGCAGGACTCAAGAGGGACACTTCCTATTATATCAGTCACATTGGATGATCAGCAGAAACTGATTCATACAAGGCATGTCCTGAGTAGGAATTCACAAAATTTCAGCACTTAGCTTCCTTTGTTTTGGATTGATAGTGACCTTTAATTCAATTCTTGTTGACACACTTGTAGTTTTCTAGTAAGTACACTCTGGTCACAGTTTGGGAATCACCTCTCTAAACCTTAAAAACATTATCCCTTGGATAATGTGCTCTTACTGCTTCATTTGCCTTTCTAAAGCTGATGTTGTCTCCGTGATCTCATAGATAGTCTGTTGGTTTCGAAATGCTGCATATGCGGTACCCTTGTCTTTGGGATCATATAAGCCAAAAAAGCCAATCCCTGGGATGAGTCTGACTTTTTTTGGTCTTCACATGCCCTCCTTCTCAACTACTCCTGTTTCCATGGGGCTTGCTGTGCTTGCTGTGGCTGGAGCTGTGCAATTTTTAAAAGATGGAATTCAGATTTTGCAGATGACAGCAATTCCTAACCATTGCTGTTGCAATATGGCATAAAAATGCATTTTGGCTGATGATTCGCAATCTCTTGGAGCAATATAAATGTCAGCAATCTGCTTGGGCAGAGAGCCTGGGGAAGGGTAGCTGCTTTATTAAAGAAACTGTGTGAAACCTGTCTAGCCATTTTTAAAAGCCTAAGTGGTGAGGATCTAAATTGGTATCAAAACATTTCAAATGTCTCCTAAAATTAATGTTTTATCACTATGGCCAAAACAGACACTAATGTAGGCTGCGTGGAACGTGTATGCCAATGATACTGTATTTCATTGTCTTCTTTAGAAAATAGGGACAGAGGAATTTTCATATTCAGAAATACATGAGTATTTGGGGGGATACATCCAGAAAAAGTCAATTTTACTAAACTGAGGCAGTTGTACTTTGGTCATATCATGAGAAGATATGGCTCATTAAAAAAAAGACAATAATCCTTTATAAGATAGAATGTAGAAGGAAAAGAAGAAGACCACAGTCCATATGGATAGATTCAACCAGAGAAGTCACAGCCCTGAATCTATAAGACCTGAACAAGTCTGTTGATAACAAGATGACTTGGAAGTCTCTCATTCATGGGATTTCCACAAGTCATAGTTGCCTTGATAGCAGTTGACAACAACAAAGGAAAGGAAGATAGGTTGGAGCTATACTAATTTTCAAAAGAACTCACTTGGTAGTCAGATCAAACATGAGAAATGTTTTTGGAAATTTATTGGAAATTTGAACTGAGGAAATGGCTATACAGGTTACATAAAATTGTTATGTCCAATATTACAGGTGTTTGTTTGCAGATAGCTAAAGTTCACCATCTTTTTTTCTCTTTTATTGCTTCAGGTTGAAGAGCGTTCCAGACTCAACCGGCAGAGTTCTCCTGCAATGCCTCACAAGGTGGCCAACAGGATATCAGATCCAAACCTCCCTCCTCGTTCAGAGTCCTTTAGTATTAGTGGGGTACAGCCTGCCCGAACTCCACCTATGCTCAGACCAGTGGATCCACAGGTATAGTGGTTTTAAGGAGACACATTTTCTTTGTTGGCAAATGAAACAGAAGTTGATCGATGGTACTCATTCAAGGTAATGTCTTGTATGAATATGCCTCATCTACTGAAAAACTGGCCCACAGGGTCATACCAAACAAGCTGAATACAGTTTCACACACAAATAACATTGAATTGAGTTAAATGCTGTATGTCCTCACAGATCTGTCAGGATCTACATTCCACATTTTCGTACCTTCCTCTATTCATCTGTTCATAAACACACAGAGAAACACCTGCTTTCCCTGTCTTCCCTTGTTAGCTGCTCTTGCTCAGGGACCCTCTACTAACCAGTGAGTTAATCACCAATTTAGTGACTGAACTCTAGTCACATAAAATGTAGATGTATGGTTGGAGTTTTGAATGACAGTTTTGACATGATTAATATATAAAATAGACATCAAAGACTGCTATCAAGACTGCTATAAGCATCCAGTTTAAGAGTAACAGAGGCAAAGGCACTTCCATGAAGATCTATGAAAGCTCATGCTAAATAAAAAATAAATACATTTCTTAGCCTTTAAAAGGCTGGAAGATGCCTTGGGATTTTTTGAATTGGTAGGTACCAACCAAGGTTTTCCCTCATTCCTTTTGGGAGGAGAAGGAGCATTGGAAGTTGGTGGGTGGTCAGAACAACAGTAGGCAAGCATGGACAATGGAAACAGTATGTCTATTTGAAGAGAAAGGCATGGTGTCATATCTAACTCATGGGCCTGTAGTTCTCCATGATAACATAGAGAGTCAATATATATGCCATTAACCTTGCAGGGGGGAAACAGAATCTATCGCTTAAAGTTATGGCGATTGCCCATTCAAATGAACAGTACATTTGTTGCCATCTTTTCTTTGAGATTAGGAGCATCTAAGTTTCAGACAAGTTCCTAATTGTGTCCTGAGTGGACAAAGTGTACCAGGCACAAGCAACTCTGGATAAAAGATGTGTTTCATTAGTGAACTGCTGTGACATTTTGTCTTCTGTGTGGGGGTGAATGATAAATTGAGATAATCTAGTTCTCAAATAATGAAAACTGCTTCATTGACTGAAAAAATGATCAGTTGCTGACAGGTCCAGCATGTTGGCAGTAATTATCTAAATTTCATTAGAGAAGAAAACTATTTTTACAGAGCATGTATATTAAATAATGTGTGAAAAAGGCCTTGCATCTTTGGAAATGTATCCTTTTAGTACATTTGTCAAAATGAGCTGCAAATTTCTCTCCTCTCAGATAATTACTTCACGGCAAGCTTGGATTTACTGCCCTGAAATGTCCATCAGATTCTGAATTCAATGTGTAACAATTGAGCAGCTGATTTTGTAGGCAGAAGAAAAGTGTTTGCATTTTCATGGTTTCATTCATAAACCAGTTCCATTGCAGACCATCCTGTTGCTTCCTTTCTTAATTTATAGAAGAGATCTCATACTATAATGTCAAAGAGAAGCAAATGTCACCTTGAATAGCCATCTGAATGACAAAAGTTTGGTGTAAGCCTCTTTCATCTGTGTGATAAATACTCCCCTGTCCCAATGGGAGATAGCTTCTTTGCCACAAATGTTAAAAGATCTGTATAAAACGTTGGTCTGCTTCAGTATGGCAATCTTTCTGTCATTGTTGGGACATTTACCTCCAACTGAATTGAAACAAAACATTAGGCTGTAAATGTTCCATATTTCTTTTTACAAGTCTGGTATGTGTAATTTACACTCATCCATTTTGAAAATAGTTTTTCAGAAGTCACATTTCTTATTGAGGCTGGAAAGAGAACTGAAACTCCCTTGCCAGTAAGATAATATATTTATAGAGTCACATAATGCTTAAGTAACGTTCTTATGCATTTCTAAAAGCAGATCGTGGAATCGTCCAAATAGGCAAATGACACTGAGACACTGACACAGTTGTTATAACTGAAAGATCAGTTCCATTATATATATATATATATATATATTTAAAAATAATTATCATAATAATTTCACATAGCTTCTTCTCCTTTTTAATTTTACATCATTTCTTTTTCTTTCCTTTTTGGCAACATAGTGCAACCAAAAAAAGAGGAGTACCACTTGCAAATAAGTCTAGATTAATGATTTATCACATTGATTACTTATTACAGTATATATACAACAAGTGCTAACAATTTTTGACGTTTCACAAAAGTATGAAACTCCTTAAAACAACCATGTCTTATTTGCCTTTTTCTTTCAAACAAGAAGCAAATCCCTAAGGAAATTCCATATAAAACTAAGTTAGTGCATTGTTATACTACCACAAAATAAACATCTGAGTGAAAACAGGTCTCCTCTGTTTTTGAATCTATCTGAATCTGCAAAACAGAACATACATTTCATACATAATTTCCTTAAATCATTTCACATGATCATATAATTAAAGATTATACGATGCATAAGTAGTGTGAGAGAGAATTAAGGCTAATTGAGGAATTTCATCTTTGGCATTTCCTGACCTTATTCTTCTCTATATTTGAAACTCTGAATCTTCTTTCTATAGTTTTGGATGACATTTTTTACAAAAATAAGCAACCCCAAAATTAAGGGTGCAATACCCAAATAATAAATTAGTTATTTATTTTTTGAATAAGTGCTTTGCAACTATTCCTTTGATTTTTTTTAAAAAAATTACATTTTTCCCAATTTATACTGATAATTTTGTTTTAACTTGGTGCTTAGATTCCACATCTGGTCAGTGTGAAATCCCAAGGACCTTCCTTGCCTGCCTCTCAGTCACTGCATGAACAGCCTACCAAGGGAATGGCAGGGTTTCAGGAGGCTTTGACGGTGACCTCTCACCGCACTGAGATGCCAAGGCAGAACTCGGACCCCACCTCCGAAAACCCTCCTCTCCCCACTCGTGTCGAAAAGTTTGACCGAAGTTCTTGGTTACGACAGGAGGAAGACATTCCACCAAAGGTAAAGATTGTGTCGCTGCTCATTTGAAAAATTTGGAATAGGAATTAGGTGAATTCAGCTGCAGTGGCACCTTAGGGTTTATCCATACACTGTGTATTGGCTCTCCTTACACCAAGGGCTCTCACAATATATACACATATGGGTTGACATGTATCCTGAAGTGTTCTTTAGGAACATGAATCAGGATCCTTTGGGGGAATGTAGTTCATAATATGCAAGGTGTCTCAAGTTCATCTCCTGACATCTTCCATTAAAAAGATGCAGGTGATGTCAAAGTCACCTGCAACCCTGGTGAGCGACGGCTAGTTAGCACAAACAGTTCTGACTAGGTCTCAATCGTACATAAATATACACATGCAAGTTAGTCATACACTGAGCTGTGTATCCTATCCCCAACTTACTGTAAATCCTTAAGTGACCCCTTGGAGAACCCCAATGGATCACAGGGCTGATGTTATTTTGCATCTGGCTATGAGGATGGAGCCAGATGCTTCTCCAGATGCTTCTCTACCTGCTTATTGCAAAGTATACATTGACCATGCTGAGTTTTCTTGGGTTCTTTACAGTAAGTTGAAGGCCCAAGTTTGGGAAATGTAGATGGAGAATTCTAACCTTGGCACTGCCCAAAAAAGGACATCCACACTCTTAAGGGTAAGATTTCCATATGCAGATGTCTCTAATGGACTGATATGGGAGAGGGGAGCTTTGTATTTTCCTTTATGGGCCATGGATTCCTGGCACAAGTAAGAAGTCTGTCATATAAAATGTAAAATACATCTTAGCTGTGGGTTAGCCTGGCTAGAACAAATGGGGAATGGCAGCAAAAGTGGCTAAGTGAAATCCACAAGCACCACCTGGCATCTGTAAATGTTAACCTTTGCCTTTTTGAAATAGCTAAATGAAACAGCACAAAAAGACAAAAGGATCCATCTATGTCCAGCCAGCTGGCTAATTTGAATACTGTCTTAAACTCAGATATTATCCCAGCTTTGTCTGGGTTTCCTTTCAGAGCTTGCAATGTTTCACAGAAAAGGAATCTTCAATAGTACATATTATGCATAGCACTACCAAATATCCTATTTTACCCTGCCTAAAATAAGCTATTAGACATACAGTTTTCCACAAATTTATGGATGTTATAGAGGACACAGTGCTATCTAATTTCCAAATGTGTGGCAGCACATTTCACACTGACAGAATTGCACTGATGAGTGCTACACCGACCCTGTATCTTGACATAGGTAAAGGTTTTTTGTCCTTTTGACAGATCCCAATATTTGAAACCAAATTCTAAGTGTTATGACCAGAGAGCACCAGATGATAGCAGCAAACAAGAAGACAGCCTTAAAAATGCACAATACCACTAGGATTAGCTATATTATCTGACATCTCTGTAAAACACAATTCAGTTATCCTGCACAGAAAGCCTCTGAGTCCTTTACTGAAATAAGAATAAATTAGTCTTTGTCTTTTTTTTTCCCTTGCATAAAGAAAACTATGAGAAACATAAAGCTTGCCATACTGGATCAAACCTGTAAGCTTTCCAGGTTGACATCATGCCTCCAGATGTGATCAATACTTGATGGAGTGTTTTGTAAGGGCTCCAAAAGCTTTATGCCTTAATGACATGACAGCAGTAGCTCTTTAATTAACAGTGCAATCCTATAGGTGTCCATACAGAAATAAGCCCTAGTGAATTAAATGGGGCTTATGAGCAGGTAAGTAGGTACAGAATTGCAGCTTAAGACTCTTTTCTAATACACTAATTGCATTGTTCATAACCTTTCCTTTGTGGATAAATTATAACATGACTGTTAGAAGTTTATCCCCTGTTGAATCAGTTGTTTGTCTCAGATTGTGGCAGTATAAGAAAGAAAACAAAATAATTAATTGATTAGGTGCTGTGACATCACCTGTAATTTTTTAAACAAGATTTAAAAGCAGCGAGGGAACAACTTGCTCTGATGTTAAGAGAACTTTATAATTGACTGTTTTTGTAAGCAGGCCATAAAATGATTCATGGTGGCAGCCCAAGGATTCATCAGCTAGTAAGCTGTAATTCTCTGCTTCATTATAAAATTCTTCCCAAACTCTTATGTTCGATATGCAGATCAAATATGGGTAAGTTCTGCATTGTAGACTGAAGATTTCAGGATTTCATTGGAGGTAACGAAACAACCAATCAAACAGCCAGAAAAGATTTCCTTGTGGCCAATAATGTGCAGTCTAACTGTTCATTATCTGCTGCTAATTTTGTCTTGGTTTTATATACTGCTTCTTTAGTCATAATGTTATTGATTTTTAATAATATCTAGAGAACTTGGATCAGGAGTAGCTTTTAACACTGTTTACAGACATTGTTCCTGTTTGTGCTTATTGATACTTGTGTTTTGGTTCATACTCATGCAGGCCCGTAGCCAGAAACAAAAATTGGGCGGGGTTGTAACATTATTTTTAGCAAGTCATTCAGAGTAGGTCCATGACACAAAATAATTTAAATTCCATAATTCAGTCTGTATTTTTATATAGGCTTAGTCAAATTTTATTTTGGCTACAAAGTTTCAAGTCTAAAAAACCTAAAAATGACTCTTAATTGGCAATTTAGTGGTTACAAAAGAATACCACGATGCCTGTTGGAAACACTTGAAAACTGTCTCAATACACTACAGAAATCAAGAGTGGAAGTCCAGTCAGTTTTTCTTGCCCCATTGTGCTTCTTATGTATGTTTTGAAACGTTTAAGTGTTGAAAACGATCTTTCATTTGTAGCTGTTGACACTGGCAATGTGGTAAAAGTCTAAAGAAGTTTCTTCACATTTGTGAAAAGATCCTCTCTATCACAGACAAGATACATTTTTCAATTTTCTACATCAAAGGCAAATTCTTCCATCAGTGTGTCAGTATTTTGAAGGCATTTGTTGTAAAGTTCTGTGCACTTTTTCAAGTTGAACGTTAAATGGCTACAATTAATAGGGAGGAACACTTGCAGTTCCTTAACTACTACTCTCTTCCTTGTAAGCCTTTCTTGAAACTGGCTGCAAAAAAAGTCCAGAAATGGGAGGTACACAATTAGCCTATAAAATCCCATTGGTGTTGGTGAAGTTGTGTGGATGTTGCTTTAACAAGTCTGGCTTGACCTTCTCAACCTATAGACTTCACCACTGATCTTGCTGTGTCAAAGATCTCCTGAAAATCTTTCACAGATTCTGTGTGCATTTCTCTGGCATTTTCTAAGACACTGTCGATATGTTGCCGGCAACAGAAAATGTCCATATCTAGTCTTTGTAATGTTTTGCTAAGCTGAAGGGATGATGACAGAAGCTTCCTTAGGATGTGTATAGTTACCACAAATTCAGCGTTCAGAACAGCTAAAAGAAGGTGTCCAGCTTAGGAAGAAGTTTCACTGTTGTATAGAGGACTCTCTTTTAGTTCTTCAAGTGTTCTCACCACAACACTGTACAGTTTAACAAAACGTAAAACTGAATTGTCTCGCTCATCATAACGGGTTTCATAAAGCGGCAACAGGTTGGTTGATCTTGGTTCAGGGAAACAGTCTTTTATATTTTTCTTCAATAGTTCCAGCCTGATGTATGATGTACTGAAGAAATTGCGCACAGATGATATTGTTGCTTGCCAGTTTCTGACAGGTGGCATGCTGCAAGTCTTTGCTAAAGGTAGATTTCGTGAGTGAGCACTGCAGTCCTCCACGTTTACCGGCAGATGCTTATAGCACAACATGAGGCCTAAAACAAAGTGGCATCCTCCTAATAGATTGGTAAAGACATAATCCCAAAAATGAAGCCTGAAACAAAATGACCCCCCCCCCCCAACCAATATGTTGGCTAATTCCTAAAGCCTGAACTGAGAGCTGAAACCAAATGAGACTTCCAAATATATTGTCAAGACTTAAAACCTAACATGAGGCCTGAAACAAAATAGAGCTGCTCTCAATATATTGGCAAAAGTTTAAAGCCTAACATGAGGCCAAAGCTTAATTCCTAACATGAGGCATGCAATAAAATGTAGGCCTCAAGTATTGTAGAAGGGGAGAGGGGATGTGATGACACAATTTACCTATAGGATTAAATTAATCTATAGGATTGCCTGTGCCTTCCTTGTGAGTGTGACTCCCTCCAAACAATTTATGAAACTTTATTTTAAAGCAAGGGATTGTCTGCAACCTTTGTCTGTAGCCCAGCAATCATGACTTGAAGCTGAGAGAGTGGGACTCGCCCAAGGGAACAATTCATTCAGAGTTTATTCTAAAATGGGGGACAAACCTCCCCTGATACTGGGTTGCCTTCCTTAGGGCAACCCATTAGGCCCTGAAGCTGAATGAGGAGACAATCTCCACTTAGTGCAGCCACTCAAACCTTATGCACTGCTGGGAAAGTCATGGCAAAATTGACAAGGGCAGAAACTTGCCAAATTGTAGTATGAATCCCTGAGCCAAAGGCATAACAATGGGAACCCTATTATCATCTGGAAAAGGGGAGTGGAGGGAGCAACGAGGAAAAGACCTAATCCTCCATTAGGAACCTGCCTCCTACTTCATGCTGAAGCAGAGGACAGTAGGGAGGAGGGCAGCCTTAAATAACTTGCTTCACCCCTGTCAACCAGCCCCATCAATTGCAAGTCTCTTCTCCTTCAAGCCCCCTCCTCCCTCACCTTAGGCTTTGCCTGTAGGTGGGCCAAGGTAGTCACTTCCACTTTGTTGGCTTTGGGAAATTGAAACTATTTCCAGTCAAGCAAATGTACCAAAATGTATGGTCCTTTTCCAACATGACAATTCAAAAGTACAATCTCAATTTTTTTGCACATTTTTCTTTTCTTGCAGGTGCCTCAACGAACTACGTCCATTTCACCTGCATTAGCTCGGAAGAACTCTCCTGGGAATGGGAATGCATTAGTTCCTCGGCCAGGATCACAGCCAATAAGAGCAAGGTAATGTCAGCCAAGGTAGAAAAAAATGAGTGTTCCTACTCCATCCAGCAATACAAGCAAGTCAGAGTAATCCTTTCTGTGTTTAGTGTATGGTATATAGCAAAGTTCAGAATATAAAATGTTGTATTTGGCTACTCCTTATTTGATTCGTACCTGCAAAATCCTAGACATAGGGAGGAAAGAGGGCAGTAGGATAATGGAAACAAGGAATTCCTGGGGTAAAGGGGCATCATAAAGGAACAGAATCTCCTTCCCATTTCTATCTCTCCCATATCATCTTCTCTGTTATGAGGCAGGGAAGTAGAGTTGAAATTAATCATTGGATATAATGCCGCAGGAAGGCAGTGGCACATATTTTATACAGTGAAGACTCAGTACGTGATATCTCCAGTTAAAAAGAAAAGGATCAGGTGACAAGTGATGGGCAAGACCACTTTCCTTCAGACACCCTTGAGAGACATGGCCAGTCAGAGTAGATAAAGGTGAGCTAAGTGCAATCTCATCTTCTTTAAGACAAACTCCCCCTTTGTCTGTGTACAGTGATGCAGTTAGACTGATTAATTATAGGAGAGGGGACAATCAATAAAATAGAAAATGACTAAAGCTTGGTTAAGACCTTTGCAAGCAGGCTGGCAGTGACTAATACCCTTGTTTAATACGTCCCATGCTCCCACTTTTCTCAATATAATGGCAAAAAAACAATTTTACCTAAAAGGATGTAAGGGACCAGGTTTCTGTCTTTTTCAATAGATTCATAATGAAAATAAAAAATAATAAATTTTATTTATTACCCAGCTCTCCTCACGGTGTTCTGGTGGCCACCTAACTCCTATCAGTTGCCTACTCTTATTTTAGACAGAAGCAAGATACAATTTGTTGGCTCTAAATCCAAATGAATTGAAACTTGAAATCTCTTTAGTCTGCATTGCATCACTATTTTGCCCAAGATGCTATACAAAAAGGGGTGGGAGTGAGTGCAAAAGCAGCCCAGTTCTCATCTCTCTGCAATGTGTTGAGTACAGGTTTGGCAAAAGAATAGGACTGGATGTGATAGACTGCCTCTCAACATCTGCACATTCAGCAGAAGGAAAGAATTGGGATCTGCACAGGTATAAATCAGGATTTGCTACAGCATCTGTAATATCTTCTGCCATATTTTCACCTTCTGTTGAACACTCAAAAGTCAGCAGCGTGACAAATATGTGTATGCAATAGATGTACCTGGACGTGTCTTCTATGCATTTACAAACTGTTTTGGATTTTAATCTCTAGAGCCCAGTGGGAAACCTGGTAAAAAAAACAAAAACAAAGTTGATGTTCCAGTGTTAGACTTAAACCAGGGATTGTGAATTGGTTGAGAGATGGTCTGATTGTGTGTGACAAGTAGATGATGTATATAATAAAGGTTTTGCATTGCCATTATATTGTTTTGAATCAACTGTGGAAGAGTAGAAATGGTTCTCCCTCTGCCTAGTACTTCCCCCACCTGCTGCCACTTCTATTCTAGGAGAGCCTGATTTATTTTAAGAATAGATGTTACAGCCTTTTTTTATAGCTGACATCTCTCTCACACAGATGCATGCTCTCACATGGACACATCTGATTCCGTCTTCTCTTTCACTGATGTGGAAGGAAGGGAGTGCAGCAGTAGTTCTTCCAGCTCTGCTCTCTTGCTGCTCTAATGAAGAGCCTTGCTGTTGTTTTAAATGCATACTAGAGCCGAGCAATTGTGAAGTGGAGGAACTGGAGAAATCACTTTTAGCAGTATCTGATTTGTTTCACTCTGTTATGCCAGCAACAAGGAAATGACTGCCAGAGAGGGAGAAGCTGTTGCTATATTTTCTATTCTACCCTCTTTCATGGCAAGGACACGGTGCATGGAGCAGGATGGGCAGGGAATTTGCGCGGCCCCTGTGCTGTTCAGGCTTCTCCAAACAACTCTGCATTTACTCTGATGTAATTCAGAGAATCATATCTGGAAGTTGGGCTTGATGACTTCGATAACTTTGGCATCTCAGTGGGGTATGAGACTCCTTTTTGGGAGGAAATGTTGGCTATTGGCAGATTATGGTCACTGTATTATATATAAAACAGTTCTGTTTTCCTAAGACTGCAAAAGGTATTTGTGCAATTCTATTGTGGTGTACTTTGCTGGGAACTGGCTAACCTGAAACAATGATGGTCATCATAATCACCACCACCATCATCATTTTAGATCAGTGGTTCTTGACCTTTGGTCCTCCAGGTGTTTTGGACTTCAGCTTCCAGCAATCCCATCCAGTTTACCAACTGTTAGAATTCTGGAAGCTGAAGTCTAAACACCTGGAGGACCAAAGATTGGGAACCACTAATTTAGATTCAGGAAAGGCAGCTTTCTCCCAATGGTGAAGTGAAAATTGTTGTGGGATAAAGGAAATATCAAGGAAGAGGTGCCAACAAACACAAGCTCCTAGTGCTGTATTTGCCCATTGGGCTGTGTCACTTCTTTTGTTTCTGATAATTTGTTTGGATTATCCACAGATCAGAATGAAAGTTGCCACAGTCCCCTGCATTTCAGTACCTATGACACTTGTTAAAACAGCCCATCTGGAAGTGCCTGTAGGCTTATAGCTACCTGAAGCTAAACCCAGCAGTTATTGCTTGATGCAGCTGCCAAGGCGTAAAATGTAATATGTGCAAAAGCAATATGTCTCATCAGGAGGGAGCTGGAATGAGAGGTATTCTATTGCTGGCAAATGAGGTGTCAGCTATCGGCCTACTTGCAGCTTGAAACAGCTGAGATGTGAAACCACGAACATCAGGGAATCGGAACTCAGTTGATGTAATTCATTGTCATATTTTCAGCTGCTGAAAAATGTTTGGGGCATAAAATAATTAGCTTGTTAGTCACTGGCATAGTTGGCCATCCATATCCATGGATTCTGTATCCATGGATTCAACCATCCATGACCTGTAAATATTGCTCTCTGAAAAAATACAAAAAATAAACATTACGTTTGTCATTTTATACATGGAATACTATTTTATATAATAGTACTTGGGTATCCACAAATTTTGGTATCTATAGGGGCCCTAGAAGCAAACCCCAGCTGATTTAAAGAGCTCGCTGTACAGTTCATGGTTTTTCATGTGTTTTGGTACTGGAAAAGAAGATCAGCACATCTTCCTCCTTCCCTCTGCACAGCTCACCATTTGTACATAAGACATTGTTTGTTAGAATCTAATTTTATCAAATTGTGTAAATAAATTGAGGGAAAGCACAGAACTTATACTATTGTTTTGTTTGTTATTTGTATTGTGTATTATAATGGAAAGGTCATGTATTTAATAAACTTTTCATAAGTTTAAAGGCAAATTCATTCATACATCTCTCACTAAATGTTGTCAAGGATTTCAGAGCAAAATTTGTGGAAACTTTCCAGGCTGCCTTCCCAGACATCTTGGGTCATTAAACCACTTGATTAACCATAATATGAAAACACTCCCATGATATTTATGGGGAGCTCACAAAGTGGGTGAGGACATGAGACCAAAGCTCATCACAACTAATTCACTTAGAGCAGTGGTTCTCAACCTGTGAGTTCCCAGATGTTTTTGGGCTTCATCTCCCAGAAATCCTAACAGCTGGTAAACTGACTGGGATTTCTGAGAGTTGTAAGCCAAAACACCTGGGGACCCACGAGTTGAGAACCACTGACTTAGAGGAAAGCCATGACCTCCTCTTACAAAGATAAGAGAACTTGGAAAAAATTATTTGTGGACCATAAGCTCCAGAATCCCTCATTACAGGTCATGCTGACTAGGTGACTGTGGGAGAAACAATCCAAAGCTTTTTGAAATTCTGATAAGAAATAGGCTGCGGCCTTGCTGTTGGTTTAGAGCTGCTTCAGGCACTCCTTTCATTAACAAAATCATAAGTTTTCATCTAAGGAGAGCCCATCGCCACAGGTACACAGTCAAGTCAGAAATGTGATTCCCTGGTCAAATAGTGTCCAAGCATCTATGGATTTGAAGGACAGAAGTGTGTAAAGCTGACAGATATGCTTGAGGGAAGGACATGGCAACTAATTTATTTCTCCCTACTACCAAGCAGCTTCCATAAAAACACATGGAGAGTGACGAGCCTTTTTTTTTTCTCCTTTCCAGTAACCCTGACCTACGGAGAACTGAGCCCATAATAGAAAACCCATTACAGAGGACAAGCAGTGGCAGCTCTTCCAGTTCAAGCACCCCCAGCTCACAGCCCAGTTCGCAAGCAGGCTCACAACCTGGATCCCAAGCTGGTTCTAGTGAACGTAATCGAGCCAGAGGTGAGGAACTCTCCCCCACCCTTCGTTCTTTCTTTTTGCCAAGTCAAAAACTTCTGCTCATTGCACTGAAACTTGGCTGTTGGTTGTTTTGTTCCTACCTTGAAAATGTTGTGTCTTGTGTCTTCTCAGTTTCTGTTTCTCTGGAGGGCTAGACCTTTTTCAGAAAGAGTCAGAAGCTTTTGGGTCCAGTGACCCACCTTCCTTCCCATTAGTTATGGTGTCCCCATCTTTTGAGATCCATATCCTTAGTGGCTGGAGAAGGGGAAGAGATTTATAGGGTGACTTGAAACAGATGGGAGAGAGGATGGGCTAATCTGAATTAGAGCTTTTCATGTTTGTCTCCTGTTTCTTTTTGTTGTGACCTCTAAGGGCAGGAAAGTCGTTAATCCCTTTTGTGCCTGCTCTGCTCTTTGCTCAGGAAATGCCAAGCCTGAAGGATCACCCATACTCCCTCATGAGCCAGCTAAGATAAAGCAGGAGGACAGCAAAGACATGACACGACCAAGCCGACCTGCTGTGAGTCTTAAATGTGTTCTGCAAAACCTGGCAACAGAAATTAATTGGTTTTTTTCTTTGGGTGACAACCTCACCACAACCTTGGGAATCAAGTGAAAAAGAGCCAAATAGACTTCCCTACCTACTTCACCATTCATACATGTGTGTAGAAATATGTTCCAGATGACATGAAAAGCTTTAGAGATGTTTTGGGTTGAGTTTGTCCTTGCCAAGTAAAGACCTTTAGCCCAGGAATTCTTGAAAACATGGTTTCTGTAAATAACTGGGATCTTAAGATCTTTGCTGAATCTTCTTAGTGGTAATTGTTGTAATAGGTGCCCTCAAGTTATCTCCTTATCTTATTATGACCCCATTCAGTTCATAGGGTTTCCTTATTCAATGAATATACAGAGGTGGTTTGCTCTTCTCTTTCTCTAAAATACAGTGTTCCCTCACTACTTTGTGATTCACTTTTAGCAGACTTGCTGTTTCGCGGGTTTTTGAAAATATTAATAAAAATATTAAATATTAAATATTTTCATCCAGTGGAAGCCAGGGACCTCAGAAGTGTGGTGGCCTGAGGCACGACGGTGAAGGCCTGCCTCCCTGGCCTCCACAGACCCTGGAAGTGTGGTGGCCTGAGGCATGGTGGTGGCCTGCTGCTGCCTGCATGGCTCCGGAGGATCTGTGGAGGCCAGGGAGGCAGGAAGGTGCCCTTGGGATAGGCTGGGAGGCAGGTAAGGAAGCATGGGTAAGAAAATAATACATAAAATATACAAAGTAATGTATAAATATTAAAATTAATAGGGCATCCCTACTTCATGGATTTTCACTTATTGCGGGTAGTCCTGGAATGGAACCCCCATGATAAGTGAGGGAACACTGCATATCCTACATCTCTTGGTATTCCCTGATATTCTGCCTTCCAAGTACTAACCACAATTGACTATGATTAGCTTCTGAGATCAGGGAAGATCTGGTCCCTCCAGGATATTTAGGGTAAATCCAATGAGTATACTTGGCTAATTCATGAAAATAAAAGTGGAGGGGGAAGCTAGTAGACTGACTTGTTTCTTTCATCATGTTCCTTTTTGGATATCAATCCATTTTTCAGGTGTATTTATGGAATACAATATTGAAGTACAATTAATTTAGAATTCCAAAGTAAATCCTTCACCTAGGACTAAGGGATATTGCCAAGTTCAATTGGGCAGATAGCTAAAAGGTGTTTTCAATTCACCACACAAGTAGACAAAAGTAAATGTTCACACTGATGGGTTCGGTTTCTAAGCCAGATAGCTATGGATGAAATACAGGTACAAAGAAATAAAGTGGTGGAACCTTGTAGGTGACACCAAAGTATCTGCAATATAAAAAGAACTCTATATTCAATCAATATTGTGATTGCTGATCAATCACAATAGTCAAGGCAAATGTCATCACAATATCTTTCTAGCTCATCTAGCATGATGGTCAAGGTAACTGCTTCTGTATATGACTTTCAAATTTTAGGATTTAGCCCACTTTTAACAATCTTTATTTTCATTAAGTACGCACCAACCATGTCTACCTTTTGTCCCAGTTTGATTTTGTGCTTGACATTTTGTCTTGCTTTACTAGATCAAGGCTCAGGAGAAGTTCCCACTGAACCTCTTTTGAATATGTATTTGCTGTTTTGTTGATATTTTTTATTCCTTTACACTTCACAGCACTAAGTTAATAATTTTGAATTTATTTTTAACCTTCTCTCCTTCCCTCTGGCATTTTCCTGTCTCGATCTGTTTCCTCTGATGCTGATTAATCTTCCCTTACTCTCAGAGCTATAAGAAAGCAATAGATGAGGTTAGTGATGTATTTTCTCAGTTGGCCATGCCGTTGCAAAGGCAGCTAGTTAGTACTAACACCAAACCATACCCTTTGAGTTGCTGATATTCAGAATGGTGGTTCTGCAATCATAATTCCAGACAGAAGAATGTGTATAGGTTCTGTAAATCTCTCTACAAAAAAAAAAGGTGGGAGCATAGTGAGAGATGTGAAAACATTTAATTGGTATTTGATTCCATAAAACCCACTGGCCATTGCCCAGACTGATTACAATTAGCAGACCAGAAGGGTAATTCGGTGGAAGGTGAGACTTGTGATGCAGGTAAAGGGGAAAATGTCTGGGATTATGGAGAAAATAATTGTGTGCTGGCAATAAGAACCAAATTGAACTCAATATTCTGAAGTTCTTCAGATGCAAAACACAAATTTGCATGATGTAGCAAAATCTAATTGCAATGGCTCTGCCTCTCTACAGCATGCCTGCTTGAAACATAACTCCGTCAGAGCTTCAGCAAAATAATTGTCTTTCCCAGATTTGGATTTTGGAACATAAAGACTGGGTATTGCCAGAACCCAGCTCTAGTTCCCATGTTTCTAGGATACAACTTCCCAAATAATTTTGAAGTGTTGGCCAGAACAAATATTGCTTTCTGATGTGTTTAAAATGACCCCAACTGCTCCCCTTTAAACAGGAAAAACTGTAGCAATAGGGAAAAACAAAATAAAGATGTGGAGGAGTTGATTCAAAATATTCAGCGTACTTTTTACAAGTCATCCTTTAGATGTGTGCTCTGTGAGACAAAACTATAGAGGTAGTGTTATTCATTGATGCCATATCCTTTACAGAATTGCATTCGTAGCCAGCAGTGTTGATGTAAAGTAAGCAGCAAGTCATGGGACTCTCTTAGTATATGGCTCTTGCTGGAAAATATCACCCCATGGTGAGTTCCACTGAGTCAATGTGTGCATGTGGTAGATGCAGGCAATGCTATTACTTAGGCTTCTAATTTGAGGTAGATATGCAATTTCAGTGGTGTGCTAAAAGCCAGTGTTGGTTGAGCAGAGGAACCAAGGAGTGCAGTCAAGTGAATGCCCATGCAACCTCACAGTGCATGCTCTCAGACTGGAACACAGTATGAACCAGAGCATTACCTTTTTGGACTACACCTTCCAGAATCACAGAGGCTGTATGGTCAGTGTCCATGACTGCTAGGAGATGTTGGAAGTTTTAGTTCAAAATGGTAATATTTCTAAGCCCTGACATAGATTCAATATTTTCCAAAATCAGTACTCAGTTGTCATCATGTGACACAGTTTCAAGACTGATGCATAGAACAAAATTAATTGATTTATAAAATGCGATATGTGAACAGATACATTAGAGTTTACGTTTGCTGTGGCAGAGCTTGAATTGCAGAATTATGGAAGTTTGGGAAGGGATTCTAAGAGATTTTTTTTAAAGATCACAATCATCAAGTTACTATATATCAGTACTCTATAAGTAGATTTGAGGAATGCTACATGAGATAGTTAAAAGCAGCAGGCACAGCTTGGACCGCCAGCACAAAACACATATGCTGCCAAATATTGCAAGGCAGCACTTGTTGGCACTTAGCAATTAGAGAATAAAGATTATTCACACATTCCAGTTTAGCATGTGTACATTAGCCTGATGCCATCCTTCTTCAGTGATACCTAATAATAATAATAATAATAATAAGAAGAAGAAGAAGAAGAAGAAGAAGAAGAAGAAGAAGAAGAAGAAGAAGAAGAAGAAGAAGAAGAATAAAAAGAACACTTTATTTATATTCTGCCCTTCTCACCCTGAAGGGGACTCAGGGCGGATCACAGTACACATACACAGCAAACATTCAATGCCGCTTTGTATAGACAATACACAGACAGACAGAACAGAAGGAGGTGCCATGGAAGGTTTGGCTTGAGCCCAGAGTGGGTGCTATTTCTCCATCCTCTATGACGAAGAGCCATCAGGACTTCTTCCTTCATTTTGGTCACCCAGCATTCTCTGATCTTCCTTCTTTATGGCATTGTAAAACACCTTCCTCCCTTTTTTAGAGGTACCTAATTTCTCTAATCACAGCTAAAGCTGTTTCAAATTGCTTAGGTAAGCAATGAGCTAGGGCTGACAGTTGGCCGCTCACGCCAACATGGGGCTTCGAACTTGCAACCTTTTGGGTTGATAGATCTTAAAATTGCTGATGATTTACCTAAGACTGTATAGCAGAGCAGGGACACAAAATGGCCTAAGACCTATTGTTAGTTTTAACTAGAGTATTGGATTGGTCCATTTTCTCCATCCAACATTTGATTCAATGGTTCTACACCAGTTGGGACAAAGTGGTAGAATTCCACCTTATATAAGCAAGGCCTGCTCCCAATATCCACAAGCATGTGGTCTCTTCTATTTTTAATTGAACATTAAAAGTATGGTTACAATAAAAGATTTTTAAAAGTAAAGAGAGAGCGCGCTACGAAAAAGGAGGGGTGAACAAGGATTAGGCCACAGTAGCTGTAAGTTCACCTACCTGCATCTGACAAACTATGTCCTCTCGAGGAATTTTTCTAGGTCCTCCAGGTAATTCTATTATATTCTTCTTCTGGAAGTTACCATGGAGTGGTATTGGAGGACTTTTTAAAAGTCTTAGGAATTTTCTGTCTCCTTTAGGGTAACTATGGTAAATTCCAACCATAGCCATTCATTTCAGTAAGATTTGTTATTACAGCTATTTTTCTGCTGATATGAGGATTTTGACTGTACTTTGATATAAACTGACAATATTTGCAAAATTACGTTTTCTTGAAGTCGATGCCTCTAAAATGCATGTTCAAGCAAGGATACAATAGTAAGATCTTCTGGCCATTAGACAATAGATGGTGAATGTGAGTTCTTGTGCAAAGTCTGCAAGACATTTGTGTTTACATTCATTTGGTGTCAGTGCACACAGGAACCCTGCCATGTTATGGGTTTCCAAGTGTATGTAGGGTTCTAACACTGTTTCACTAAATGTGAGTAAAAGACAATTAATCCATATTGTAAAGTCTTTAGAACCATATGTGTAGTTCAGACATGAAGTAAAAAGGAAGGGCATGTGTTCGTTTCCGATGCTTTTGGGTACATATTCTGTAGTCTGTGAATGTGTAAGAATCAAGAGATAAACAGCCCTAAACTGCTCATT